TCCTTCCTTCCTTCCTTCCTTCCTTCCTTCCTTCCTTCCTTCCTTCCTTCCTTCCATCTTTTCCTTCCACTCTTCCATCCATCCATCCATCCTTCCTTTCCTCCCTCCCTGCCTCTATTCCCCACCCATTAACCCATAGAGGTCCAGTCTGAAAGGGGAAGCTCCCACTGAGGGGGCTCACATGATCAGCCAAGGTACTGGAATATCTCCCCCATCCAAAGTGCTGCCTTGTGCTCTCGTCTCCAGGGAAGGACTCACAGCCTCCCCACCCCCCCACCCCTTGCCTGGCCCTTCCACTCACCCAGGAAATGGGGGTTCCTGTCCACCACTTCGCTCATCTCCCCTACCAGCTCGATGCTGGTGTAGCGCACGGCCGTGTGGACGGCTTCCGGAAGGCGCACCACTCCGTCCAGCACTTCCACCAGGGTGGGATTGTTCTCTCTGCAGCAGGGGGCACGGAGGAAGCAAATAAATTCTGACCCCTCAAAAAAAAACCACCACATCGTGAACCACAGGGACCCCCCCAGCGTCAGGATTCCGTCAGCGGCCCCAATTAAATCGCGAGCCTCAATCCAAGCTTCAAAAACTTCGAACGATTTATTAGGAGCGAACATGTCGCCATGACCCGTTTGGAGCCGACTCGGAGACGCGTGATTCACTGTCACCTATGACCCTGTTTGTCCCCCACCCTCAACCTTCTGGGTGTGTCATCAATCATATTCTCCAACCCGAAACGCCTTCATAGCTGAGAGTCATCAATCGCGTTTTCAAATTGGAGATTTTTCCGGGCAGAAATTCTAGTAGCTTAGTTATAATCTTGGCAAGATATGAATGGAATGCACTTTTGGGTTCCAAACTGCTGCACGGCTCTTTTAAATCTCTCTCCTAGAGTTGGCAGCTCTGAAACAAGCTTAAAAATGTTTTATGGGTTGACACCCAGCTTGTTCCTGGGGTCTCCAACGATTTAGGGCACCGGTCGGCAACCCGTGGGCCAGGGACCGCTTGGTGGTCTGCGAGAAAATGTTGGTGGTCCATAGAGAAACGTCCCACCCGAAGCGATTAATCCAGGCTACGCGGGAACATAAGGCTGTGCCACCCCGCATGGCCCGCGGGAACACAAGGCCTACGTCGCTTGCATTGTGAACAACACGAGGTTAGTGAGGGGAGGGGGGAAAGAGCAGAGGGGGAGGACTTGCCCCACGCGCCCCACATACTTCGCCTGGCCACTGGGCTGCCTTTTTCCGCTTCTTTCTTCTTCTGCTTTTGGCTGCACGCAAGGAAAGCAGCCAAAGTCTTTCTTTCTCTCCCCCAAACTCTGCCAGAAACGAGTCTTTGGGACCCTGCAAGGCCTCCTGCTCCAAGAGGCTGCAAAGACTCGTTTCTGGCGGAGTTTGGGGGAGAGAAAGACAGACTTTTGCGGCTTCTGCTGCTTTCCTTGCATGGAGCCAAAAGTCTCCGTCTCTCTCTCTCTCTCTCTCTCTCTCTCTCTCTGTCTATTTCTGACCCCAAAACCTCTCCACCCTTTCACGCTTACAACCGTGCATTCACTTAATGGCCACGCTTAACGAACTCTGCCAAAAACGGTGTAAAACCCGGGTCTAGACATCAGGGTACCTCAACGTGTGTTGTGTTAACAACTTACAAGAGGAAGGTGGGTTGGATACGTTTGCCGCCGCTGCCTTGAGTTATTTATAAAGATAATGAAGGCAGGAACAAATAAGCGAACAAGTAGAACAATACATAAGTAAAATAAGTTGTTACACTTGTAAGTAAATGAATCAAAATATTTGAAAAAGGGAGCCAAGTTGGCAGCCTCCTCCCAAGTAAAGGCGGCTTTTAAGAAGTCACTGGACAGCCATCTGTCTGAAGCGGTCATAGGGTCGCCTGCGCGAATGGGGGAGGGGTTGGACTAGATGACCTCCAAGGCTCCCTTCCAACTCTTGTTACTGTTAAAAGAAAGCCAGGCCCTTTCGAGTTCAGGGAGGAAAGAGAGGCCGGGAGAGTGGGAGGCACGTTCTGGGTCCAACTTACACTAAGAGGAGGCCCATACCAACACTCACGCATGAAACCCCGTGGCCCGAACGCCCCGGCCCTGGCGTGGCTCCTCCCCTCCTCACTACTCACTGGTCAACGCTCTTGGCAATGGAGGCCATGATGAAGAGGACGGCTTCCGTCACCTCCCAGGACGGGTTGCCTTCTTTCAAAGTGGCGTAAAGCTGCAAGAAGAAACGATGATGAGGATGATGGAGGAGGAGGAGGAGGAGGAGGAGGAGGAGGAGGGGGGGGGAACATGTGGGCAAAGGATGTTCCCAAGTAATTTCCAACTCTGAGAAAAGCTCCACCATTCCAGAATTTCCCATCTTAGGCACCAAAGCCAGCTGGGTGACTTTGAGTCAATCACCAGGAGACGGTGAGATCTAGTTCTGCCTAAGGTATGAAAGCCGGGAGGATGACTGGGCGAATTAGCAGGAGACGGTGAGTTCTAGTCCTGCCTTAAGCAGGAAAGTTGGCTGGGCGACTTTGGGACCATCACCAGGAGACAGGGAGTTGTAGTTCTGTCTAAGGAATGGAAGCAAGTGGGATGACTATTGGTCAATGACCAGGAGACATGAGTTCTAGTCCTGCCTTAAGCAGGAAAGTTGGCTGGGTGACTTTGGGACAATCACCAGGAGATGGTGAGTTCTAGTCCTGCCTTAAGCAGGAAAGTTGGCTGGGTGACTTTGGGACAATCACCAGGAGACAGGGAGTTGTAGTTCTGTCTATGGAATGGAAGCCAGTGGGATGACTATTGGTCAGTGACCAGGAGACAAGGAGTTCTAGTCCTGCCTTAAGCAGGAAAGTTGGCTGGGTGACTTTGGGACAATCACCAGGAGACCGGGAGTTCTGGTCCTGCCTTAGGCAGGAAAGCTGATTGGGTGACTTTGGCCCAATCACCAGGAGACGAGGAGTTCTAGTTCCGCCTTAGGCAGGAAAGCTGACTGGGTGACTTTAGGCCAATCACCAAGAGACAAGGAGTTCTAGTCCCACCTTAGGCAGGAAAGCTGGCTGGGTGACTTTGGGACAATCATCAGGAGACAAGGAGTTCTAGTTCCGCCTAAGGAACGTAAGCCAGTGGGATGACTATTGGTCAATGACCAGGAGACAGGGAGTTCTAGTCCTGCCTTAAGCAGGAAAGTTGGCTGGGTGACTTTGGGCCAATCACCAGGAGACAAGGAGTTCTAGTTCTGCCTAAGGAATGGAAGCCAGTGGGATGACTATTGGTCAATGACCAGGAGACGGTGAGTTCTAGTCCTGCCTTAAGCAGGAAAGCTGGCTGGGTGACTTTGGGCCAATCACCAGGAGACGGGGAGTTGTAGTTCTGCCTTAGGCCTGAAAGCCAGCTGGGTGACTTTCGGCCAATCCCTATCTCAGTCCAGCCCACCTCACAGGGTTGTTGTTTTGCAAAAAACAGGGGGTAGGAAGGAGAACTAGGTCCGCGTGCTGCCTTGAGCCATATTATATAGTAACAAAGGTGGAATAAAAAGATAAAAGAGGAAATAAAAACCGTGCTTTCTAGCTGGGAGGAGGAGCTAACGGTGGGCCCGCCAGACAAATCCCATCAGGATCCCTTCCCCTTCCGGGCCTCACCTGGGCAAAGCATTCCACGGAGCCAACCAGGAAGATCAAATCCTTGACGAGATCCGAGACTCGCATCCGGAACTCCCCAAAATCATCCGTTTCCTCGGGGATCCCTTCCTAGGATTCGGGGAGCGAGAGAAGAGGAAAAAAGGGAGGTCAGTCAGAGAGCCAGCACGGGGCAGGGCCGGCCGAGGGATTCTGGGAGTCCAAGTCCACGGGTCGTATCGCGGCCACATAGGTAGGTAGCCCTGGACTTCACGACCGAGTCGAGATTTCCGTCGCTAAGTGAGACAGTTGTTCAGGGAGGATTTTGGCCCCGTTTTCTTACCACCAGGATTTCTCCACTGCAGTTGCCAAGGGAGAAACACATTCAGCATAATCGGGAAAAACATGGCCTTTTTCTTTTAAAAAAGTTTATTTTTTAAATTTTTAAAAAATCGATTTTTTTAAAAAAAATTCAATCATATTTGTTTTTTAACGTCAATCGGATTTTCAAAATATTTTTATCAAATTTATTTTAATAAAATTATTTTGGAGTTAAAAAAAAAAATCTATCTGAAGATAGTTTCCGATTTAAGATACATTGATAATTTAGTTTATCTATCTATCTATCTATCTATCTATCTATCTATCTATCTATCTATCTATCATCTATCTATCTATCTATCTATCTTTCTCTCTCTCTATATATATATATATATATATAAAAGCGAAATGTTGCTCATGTATCATCGCAAAATCTCCAGAACCGTAAAGCCTACAAACTTGAAATGTGGCACGTCGGTTCCTCTTGGCTTCTAGGGTCTCACTAAGAAAGGATTTTTTGAAAGGACCATCAGAGCATTTAGACTATTTCCTATATTATTATTATTATTAACACGCTCTGATGCTAAGGAGTTCGACTCCCCCTCCCCACCTGGAAAAAAGAAATCTCTTCCAGATGCAAAACAGAAGCAGAGGAGTTTCAGTCTCAGTTTCACAGCACCAGGCAGCTTCAGTAGAGAACAGTTGAGCTAAGCCACGCCCGGGCTCCCTGCTGTCTCCTTGTTCACACAAGCAAATACTCTTTCAGTTTCCAAACAGCCCTCAACTCTCTCACACACTGACAGGACGCTAGCCAAATGAATACTGATGGATGCTGGTAGGTAGAGGTAGAATTCCCCGCCCCCTCTTATTTCCCCCCCAAAAAACTACGCCTGACCACATGAAATGGAGTTTAGTTCTGTAGCGGGAGGCGGTATATTCTGCAATATTTACATTTTTGGTAGACTCATTCAACGAATCCAAGCTCTGAAAGCTGAGATAACGTGCCCTGCATTGACGCATTCCCACAATTTCACAGTAGAGATGGTTGGTAGCTCTTTTTTTTAAAAAAAAATAAATAAACGATTTAAATCGACTTGATTTAAATCCAGCTTACTCGCTGGTGGTTTCAATCGCGATTTCGATCGACTCGATTTAAATTCAAACCCACTCTGCCCTGAACCATCTGCTCTTCTCCCACACACACACACACTCTGGACACAGATTGGGGACCGCCGGCCAGAGGGACGAACTGGGAGGGGTGGGCTTACATGGTCGGGGTCCAGCTGGCAGTGCCGGGCCAGAGCGTGAAGAAGCCGCTGAATGTAGGCCTTGAAGATGCTGTGGATGATGGCGTCGTCTGTCTTGTACAGGTGTTCCCCCAGCCGGTACCAGAAGTTGAAGGATATCTCCACCACCTGGGAGCCGCCGGGGGTGGGGGAGGATTAGAGATTACAGGTTAACAAGAGTTGGAAGGGAGCTTGTAGGTCATCTAGTCCAACCCCCACCCACCCAGGCAGGAGACCTACACCATTTCTGTACAGTCTCTTCTTGAAAACGTCCAGGGATGAAGCTCCCACAACTTCTGAAGGCAACTTCTGTTCCATGGGTTGAGAATAGAATAGAATAGAATAGAATAGAATAGAATAGAATAGAATAGAATAGAATAGAATAGAATAGAATATGGAATGTAGAGTAGAGTAGAGTAGAGTAGAATAGAATAGAATAGAATAGAATAGAATAGAATATGGAATGTAGAATAGAATAGAATAGAATAGAATAGAATAGAATAGAATAGAACAGAACAGAACAGAACAGAATAGAATATGGAATGTAGAGTAGAGTAGAGTAGAGTAGAGTAGAATAGAATAGAATAGAATAGAATAGAATAGAATAGAATAGAATAGAATAGAATAGAATAGAATATGGAATGGAAAGCAGAGTATAGTAGAATAGAATATGGAATGTAGAGTAGAGTAGAGTAGAATAGGGAATGTAGAATAGAATAGAATAGAATAGAATAGAATAGAATAGAATAGAATAGAATAGAATAGAATA